ACACCTATATATAGGTGCCGTTAATTGTACGGCAAGGCAAGGCTAAGCCACACAGTCCTAACAGTCCTGATCAAGTGTCTTCATCGCTGCGGCCCACATGACTATCCAGCCGCCATCGCACGCACGCCAGCCCTCCCCTCGGCATGGCCAGAGAGATCAGACACATCTTCCCTTCCCGCCAGTCTGCATCCCACCCATCTCGGCCGTCTCGTCCCATAGCACGGCAGGCAGAGCCAAGTTACGCCACCCGCATGGTCCTGATGATCTGCTCGTCATTGTCCATCCCGTGCTTGAGCGTCAGGTTGATGCCCCACCGCAGCGTTTCCATCCGAACGACACGAAAGATCACCTCGCAGATGCCCATGCGGCGGCCCGTCTCCCCGCCGATGGCGAAGGGGCGCAGCGGTGGCTGGCCCGGCCCGCCCACCACATGGACGTTGCCGTGCTGGATGATGCTGTGGCCGGCGGCCGTCACGTACTGCTGCATGGCGTGGTTGATGCGTGTGCCGAATGGGTTCTCGCCGATGGAGACGGAGGGGGAGGGGGTCAGCAGGGAGGCGATCGTCGTCTGGATCTCGGGAGGAAGAGCGACGTGTGTCGTCTCGCTGATGGGGATGGGTCGGGATAGCGAGGCCACAATGGAGCGGCTGGGCTGCAGAGCGGTGTTGATGGCACGGATGGACCGGCGAGGGATCTTGCGGTTCAGCAGCGTGCCGTATGCCTTCACGATCCTCCTCAGGGGCCAGTCTGCCTTGTCCACCTCCTCATCGCTGTCCCAATCGCAGTCGCTGTCCCAGAGCCTTTCGTCCATCCCCCTTTCTCTCTGACGCCGGCGCTCAACCCCGGCCTCTCTGATGGCCCTCTGTGGGGTCACGCCGGCAGCCGTCAGCGAGGCACCGTGCGTGAGCAAGTCCAGCAGATCCGGCTCGACCCGCACGGCATCCGAAGGCTCGAGCTCTCGTTCGGTCATCTCACGCGCCAGGTCCCACAGCAGAGTACACCCGCTCCAGCTGGACGTGTTGATGTGCTTCGCTGCACCGAAGTGGTAGAGGCGTTGGATGGTCTCTTTGCGGCCCGCGCGGCTGAGGTGGCCAACCGAGAAATGCGAGTCCCACAGCGGCCGCCTGCCGTCACTGTCTGTTGCGCTGACGATGTCGCGCCCGCATACCTTGACAAAGTATTCGATGAGCCGCTGCTGGCACTTGGGGTCGGTGAGGGGGTGCTTGCAGTAGCGGTGGATGGGCTGCTTGCCGTTGCCGTCCACTTCTGTGAGGACAGAGCGGTCGCGATTGGCGATCTTCTTGACGATGTGCAGGTGGGCAGCCGGCGACAGCTCTTGCCGATTGCCGAATGTGGCCATGCGCAACCGCATTGACGGGACGGACGTGGCCAGCTCCGACAGCAGCTGCATGCCGTTGACAGCCGCCTTGTACTGCGGCTCGAGGAGCATCTCCAGCAGGGCCCACCGCCCCTCTCTGATTGCAATCCGCAAACTCCTGTGCTTCGCGTCGTCGGTGCTCACGTCGATCGGCGCCCCGGCGTCGAGGAGTGCCCGGAGCACCTTGTCAGCCGATGAGCCGTAATGGTCTGCGACCACCAGCCCCACCAGGCTGATGTCGCCTCCATCGGCCTCCTTGACGCCGCCCCTGATGTTGGCCCCCTGCTCGATGAGGCCGCCCGCCGTATGTTCACTGACTGTGCCACACGCAATGCCGATGGCCAGCCGCTTCGTCAGATGGCACACACCAGCATCGAACTGCAGCGTGACGACCTTGCGGAAGTTTGTGTCGATGGTGGCCGTATTGGGGAGCGATGCAGGGAGGGCGTCTGGGTCTGGCAAGGCTGTGAATGGCGGCGGGGGCTGGGAGCTGCCGAAGAGGGCCGAAGGGGTGAAGGCATGCTCAAAGTCCTGCACACACGCACAAGCAGACGATGCACGCGACTCCATGTCTCATGTCTTCACGTAGCGCACCCGCTGCGTTGGCGTCACGGAGACCAAGTTGCCCATGAAGCCCCAACAGCGACTATAGTTGCGCATGAAGGTACCGAAAATGTCCATGACGGTGAGTAGGATGGCCGAGTGACGTGCTGAGTGGCGGCTGGGGATGGAGCGAAGTCTGCGGCCGGTGGAGCGTCCGCTCACGCCCTCGCCCTCCTTCAGCTGCTCGCGGCGCTTGACTTGGCCATGGGGGTCGGTCACGACGTATTGGTACTGATGCTCGCCCGGCGGGATGGCCGCACAGACGCGCCAGGCGTCACATGTGGGAGACGGAGGGGCCATGCGGTGCGCATTGCCACCGACCAGCAACGAAACTGATATATTCACAAGACGCGCACATCCCATTACTCTGCATAGATCTGACTCTTTTCGTTCTCCGCGTGAACTCCCTCGTACCAGACTCGCCATCGTTGACATCCTCCGGGGAGGCCACCAGCCTGAAGACTACAGGGACGGGTGCGTCTGCATGCCGGAGGGGAGACCGACACGGTGGTCCAGCAGCCGGCTCCCTGTCACCTCGACGATGTAGCGGACGTCCGCTACATCGTCACATCATCAGAGCTTGTGGGGGCTGTGGGCTAAGCTCGCAGCCTTACATGAACGGAAGTTGTGACGTCAGGATCTGTTGCCCATGAGAGGGATCCCCCATGAGAGGGACGGGTGCGTCTGCATGCCGGAGGGGAGACCGACACGGTGGTCCAGCAGCCGGCTCCCTGTCACCTCGACGATGTAGCGGACGTCCGCTACATCGTCACATCATCAGAGCTTGTGGGGGCTGTGGGCTAAGCTCGCAGCCTTACATGAACGGAAGTTGTGACGTCAGGATCTGTTGCCCATGAGAGGGATGTTCGTTCTTTTGTGAACCTCCATCATTGGCCGGCCCGATGCGCAACTATCAGGGTGTGTTGATCAAGACCGGCAAGGTGTCGTGTACGCCGTGTGTGCGGCCCTACGCCATCACGGAGGAGCAGGGGGTGCACTACCTCATCTACCCCTCCAAGCAAGTCTTCAGGCGCAGAGAGGTATGGGTGCATGCGTGTCACACACTGACTCACACACTCACTGCGGTGGTTTCTGTGGTTTTCTTTGTGCTTGCTGCAGCAAAAGATCCCTCTGGTGCGGTTTACCTGCGAAGAGCCGAGGGCAGCCACAGATGAGGAGGTCAAGGCCGTAAAAACATCAGGTTCAACGACCGCCGCCCTCGCCCATAACACACAAGACACACAAAACACACCTGTGCACGCCTCTGTGTGTCACACAGGTGCGCTTCGTCAGTTCCGAAGGGCGTCGACTTTGCCGTCAGGCCGGCGAAAATCGCTAGAAATGCCTCCTGACCCCGGTTTCTGCTTCCAAATAAACGTGAAGCTGAGGCTCAAGGAGCATGGCAACGTCATCACCAAAAAACTCGCCATCTTCGTCGTGTAGGCCGCCACACACACTGGATGAACGGACGGATGAATGTGTTATGACAGGGGGAGGCAGTTGAATGTCCGACTTTGTGTGTTGTGTGTATAGGCCTGAGGAGAACAATTTCACTGCTATGTACACCAAGATACGGAAGATCTCCCAAACTGCAAGTGAGGTCGATTCGATACTCACAAGCTCCTATCACCAAGTTCCTGATCCGCTGTCTATCTCTTTTTCCATACGCAGCTGCGGCGCCACCTGTGATGGGCGCGGTGGGATAGACCAGCCAATGATATCAGAAAGCGGAAGCTGCCATTGTTCATGTCTCCTGCCTCCCTCCCTCTGTCTGCCGCAATGTGCTCAGAATCTCGCCCTCACGGCAATGTATTCGGGCATCGACTCAGACGAAGAACAGTAGGCACCCCTTGAACCCGTCTACAAGCACCACGTGTGATCTGCGCTCTCTGTGTCCAATCCTCCATGTCTCCCATCATCAGCCACGGTGCCGACAGGAGCTCTTTCAAGTCTCTCGGAGTGGAGTCGCCCCGGACCAACCAGCTGGGAGTATCAATGGCCACAGAGACATCAGCACACGAAGGCGGGACGGTGAGTCCAGCTGACTCATGTCATGCAGATGTCTGAAATGCACCAACATGCACCGTCTGGTGTCATCCATGTGTGCAGGCAAGCGTCGAAAGAGGGGACACTGGGGAGAAGGAGGCAGCGGCTACAGCGGACCAGGCAAGGCGGACTGGACTTGCTGTTCGAGGAATGGCCTGTCTGCCTGAATGAGACGTATCCGTGTGTGTGTGCATGCATGTAGGAAAGGGAGAATGCCGAGATAGAGGAGGCCATCAAGCGGTCACTGGAAGAGAACCAAGCCACAAAACACCAGCATCAACTGGTGAAATACACAACGAATTATGTGGACTGCGGCACAGATAGACACCGCCTTGCTGTCTGTCAGGATACCACCCCCACGACCGATCAGGCTATGATAGCCGTCACCGAGCCCCCTCCCACCGAAGGGGAACCAGACAACCACGCCGCCACCACCACACGACACCGATCCGAGAGCACCGACAATGCGGCAGAACAGTCACCAGAGGGGCCACACGCACGGTCGCTGCCCCCGCCCGCCCTCAAGCCCGACTCGCTGCCCACCACGCCGCAAGACTCAGAGAGAGAGCCGGGAGGAAGGGAGGCCGAGACGGCAGAGGAGGTTGTTGTTGTCGCGGAGGAAGATGTGGACAGGGAGCGGTGAGACAATATGAGGGGATAAGAGAATACTGCAGTGTGTGTATTCCGTTGCGTGTGTGGCGTTCAGGGGTGATGAGGGGAGAGAAGAGGCGCCTGAGGACTCACATGAGAGGGAGAGGGAGAGGGAGCCGGAGAGTGTCGAGCATAGGGCAGGGAGAGGGGAGGTCCCAGCATTCACCGTCGACACTTCCATGCCAGTGGCATGCACCGGCAACCTCCGTGTCAAGTAATGTCATGCAATCGGGGGAAAGACTCCGTCCAGTGCTGATTGGTACTTGGCTGATCTCCTCTGTCTGTCTGTCTGCCTGGCAGGTGCCGTTACTGTCGCGGCCTGAGGTGTGCTGACATGGCCATACTCAAAGGCAAAAGCTCCTCAGACCCATACGCCGTCGTCCACTTCCCGGTCAGTCATCATGACTGACCCGTACTCTCGACCACAAAAGACACAGCACTCACATCGGTTCCTGCCTTGTCCATTCTGCAGGTGGGGCCTGGTTTGATAGAGAAGTGGACAACGAGCGTGGTGAGGAAGAACGTCGACCCTGACTTGGAAGAGGAGGCCGTCTACCGCGTCCAGTGGGAGGCGGGCGATCCCTCACCACCGAGCGAGCTGCTGGTGGAGGTGTTTGACTCTGACTTCGGCAAGAGCGACGACTTCCTCGGCCAGGTCTTCGTGCCGCTGCTGTGGACATCGCCCGGCCTGCACAGGCACTACGACCTGCCACTCTTGTCAGACACGTCCAAAAACCGACATGAAGCCAAGGTACCTTTTGTGTCACTTACCCACGAGGACACACGGTCTGTCTGCCTTCATCGTCATATCAGGGGTCCATTTCCCTCGACATCGAGTGGACGCCAGACGCCCCGCCACCACTACCACCACCAACACCACCACCAGCACCAGCACCAGCAGAAGCAGAGGCCACAGCAGAGAGAGAGGAGGGCGTGGGGGCCAGCGTCCCCCCTGCCGCTGCTGCAGCAGCGGCCGTCAAGGAGGTCCGCACCGTCCTCAGAGGGGGGTCCCTCAGCCATCTCAGAGGCGCCGGCGGGCCACAGACAGACGCACACCCAGAGCCGCTGACCTCCGTCCCGCCCGAAGCCAACGAGCTGATCAGCCGCGAGGCCGTCGGTGCGGGCCGCACCGTCACGGGCGTGTCGCGGGCCCTCGCGGACGGAGGCACAGACGCCGACTCACTCATCGAAGAGGAAGACAACGAAGAGCAGGAGGAGGGACCAGTGCCCGCAGCGCGGCCAGAAAAGTCGTCATGGGTCTCCCGTGTGCTGTCGTGCGTGTGTGGGAGGCGGAGAAGGCGTCGGCCGTTCCGGAGTCCGAGTCAGATGGACGATGAGGACGAGGACATGCCTGACGTGGTGCCGTTTCCGTGGAATATTGGGAAGGAGGTTGAGATGTGGGCGGGGTATGGTGTGCCGCTGGATTGGGATGAGAGGCAGCGGCTGCTGAGGGAAGACAGAGACGACATCGAGCCTTTCAAAGACGTGTAAGCGAGAGAGACATGTGCACGCGAAAGCTATTCCCATGAGAAATTGATTCTTGTCTCTCTGTCCCTGTCTCTCTGTCCCTCTCTATGTCAGTGCGCAGCTGCAGGCAACGAAGGTTTTGCACAAGTATGCCCTGGCCTTCGCCGTCCTGCTGCTGCTGTGTCTCTGCGGCCGGCTGTTCCCCTTCCTCATCCTGCCCCTGGCGGCCGCACTCCTGTGCTGCGTCATGCTCGTCTACCATGGCAGCCCCTCTGACACCCCTGCACCCGCACCAATCGCACAGGAGCATCGCAAGCTCACCTTGGGCCACGACATACCGGGATCGCCGCGGTCAAGGAAGGTCAGCACGTGTGTGTGGCTGGGTGGGGTGCTGCAGTCCAACCTGGATCGAACATCTACATCTGTCTGTGTGTGCGTGATGTGATGTGATGTGGTGTTTGAAAGGCGTTCGCGGAGCCGATATTCTATCCGGCTGAGATCGCAAGGTTCCCTCACTACACACAGGTGGAGTTCCTCAACAGGTAAGTAAAAGCATCTTGGGCGGGGCGACGCCTGCGACCCTCGCTGTATGCAGGCTTCTGGCTGCCCTGTGGCCGAGCATGGTGGTGCAGCTTGACAGCATCATCTCAACGTCGCTCCCCAAATGGCTCGCCCCAAAGTGCGTGGCGAGCGAAACAAACGCCGCGTATCCGCCTTTCTCTCTCACCCCTCCAATGTGTGTGTGTCGTGTGCGCAGGATAGCGACCCTGGGATCGCGCCCGCCGCTGCTGGTGTCTGTCAACGCCTACAAGGGTGTTCCGTGCATGATAGACGTCGACCTGAGGTGGACGTCGGGCATCACTCTTGACCTGCCACCTCTGGGCGGCCTCGATAACGTGACGGTGGAGATGCTGCTGAGGATCGGGCTGTCCCACTGGGTGGAAGTGGTACGTGCACATCTTGCGGTCTCATACGTTCGTCCACCAATGCATCTCGGAATTGTTCCTTGGGTCTGTCGTTCTGTGTGTCTGTGCGTATGTGTGTGCCTATGTCAGCCGTCGTGGGTTGGGCAGGTATCCGTCTGTCTCCTTCGCGTACCCACCATCACCCTCCATGTGAGCAGACAGACAGACAGACAGACAGCAAGACAGACCACCAATTAGTGTAGGGATTTCCCCCATGCATGGGCATTCCTCTCTGACTCCACCGTCAGCTGAAGGGCCTGCTCTGTGCCGTGCACCCGATGCTCGTCTGGCCGGTGCAGCTGGTGCTGCCGCGGGTCCTTATGTGGCTGCTGGGGTGGCCAGCCAGGTTCGACATTCCCCTGATGCCCTCGGATGAGCTGCAGCACCACTCGGCCAAGGGGCTGCTGCAGGTGCACGTCCGTCAGGGGCAGCAGCTGCGGGCGAGCGACATATCCCTGTGGGGCAAGGCATCGTCGGACCCTTATGTGCTGGTGCGGGTGTCGGAGGAGGCCAAGTCGTGGAGAACCAAATCTGTCAGCCGATCGCTCAACCCGCAATTCAACGAAGTGGGCGTTACTTATACTGACAGAACACAGCACAAAGCAAAGAGATGGCCTGCCGCGACGCGATGGGTCTCTCTCTCTGTCTGTATGTCCTTATGTCAGATTTTCCACATTCCTTTGACCAACCCCACGGCGCGTCTGCTGTATTTCCACGTCTACGACAAGGACAAGGTGGGCTCTGACGACCTCCTGGGCTTCGCGCGGGTGCCTGTCAAGGAGATAGTCGAGAAGGGCACCTGGGACGGCAGGCTCGAACTCGCACCGCCAGAGTTCTGCAGGCACGCCACATCGACGCGAAGCACGGCACACCAACCATGGTCGCTCTCTCCCCTCTCTCTCTCTCTCTCTGTGTGTGTGTGTGTGTGTGTGTGCCTTTTGCAGCACTGAGGAGAGCCGCAACCCCAACACGAGGGGCGAGGTGATGCTGGAGGCCCTGCGGTCGTTCAACGAGGAGGACAGGTCGCCCACAGCACCATCGCCTGCAGCCAGAAGCGACACCGGCACCGACCACCGACTCAGACATGGAGTCAAGACGTCAGCCACCACATAAAGATCAGGCCTCAGTGGATGCATCAGGGGACTAGAGACACGTACGTAATGTAGCGTCTGATGTGGTGTGGTGTGGTGTGGTGTCATGTTTAGTCAGCTGAAGAGCGTGTGGGCCAAGGCGGGGAAGCGGCCCCCCTCCGCGGGCAAACTCTATGTCCGCCTCTCATGGCTGCCGCAAGCACCATGTAGGCGCACAGAACAGACACACACACAAACACTCCATCAGATGTCTGTCTGTCTGTCTGTCACTCCGTGTCTCCTCACTCACGTCATTTCAGCAGCAAGGATCACCGAGGCTGCCCGTGTTTCGATCTTCGGAGGGGTGCTGACAGCCATGCCATCTCCAACCAAACCCACACACACATCATGAGTGATGTCTCCGTGTGGGATGTGTGTGTGTGCAGGTGCCTCCCGAGCTGGACATCGACCACGAAGGCATCATCTCCCCCCAGCCGACCGACGCCGAGACACGCAAGTCCCGCTCATTCCCGGAGCTGCAGACGCTCGAGTCCTTTTTGCACGACGCATTGGGGGGCGGTCTGCTGTCCGTCACCCTCATCCGGGCCACCAACCTGCGGGCGGCCGACTTCAACGGCTTCTCTGACCCCTATGCACTGCTGACCATACTCAACGCGGGATGCGACGTCAAAGTGCAGCGAAGCAAGGTGGGAGGGAGAGACGGGGGATGCGCCCTCCGGTGAATGGGGAAATAAGTCCCTGTCTGTCTGTCTGTCTGTCTATCTGATTTGGGTGGGTGGGTGTTTGGATGCGCTGCAGACGATCAAGAGGAATCTGAATCCCGTGTGGCGGGAGGAATTCCTTTTCGACGTCCGCACAGTCGACGACGCCAGGCTGAAGGTAAGTAGGCAACGCAGTCACCTTGATATGTCAGTCATCTCGTTGTGTTGTGTGAGCCTGTCTGGTCGTGTGGTGTGGTGTGGTGTGCACTGCAGGTGGTGGTCAAGGACAGGGATGTTATCGGCAAAGACGACTTCCTGGGCCAGGTGGAGGTACCCGTGCGTGAGCTGCTGGACGGCCACCACCAGGGAGACATCAGATTGGAGGAGACCAAGGGCGTCCCATCCACCCTGCAGCTGGAGGCCCACCTCACGCGCACCTAAGTGACCAATTGCTGTGGTGTGTTTGGAGGGTGGGACGGCTGTCTGTCTGGAATGATGTGGTGTCTTTGGAGGGAGGGAGGGAGGGGGGGGATGGTGTGGGTATTTGTGCGCTGCTCTCTGCTGGTCTCTCGCGTCGTGGGTGCGTGTTCACACACACAAACTTTTTCTGATTTGATCTGGCCAGCCACCCAGCTGTGCTCAAACTTTCTTCTGTGTCCATGTGTGCGTCTTTACGCTGGAATGCGTTGAATAAACTCGGAAGGGAAGAAGCCCCCCACTGTCCCCGCGATGTGCATTAGTTTGATGGATGGATGGATGGATGACAGGGGCGTCACTGGTGACCGACTGACGGCCCCTCCCTCCCTCCCTCCCTCCGTCTGTGTGTGTGTGTGTGTGTGTCACTCATACTTAAGGAAAGTCATACCGACGCAGAAACACCAGCCTGCGCCACGCTACCCGACAGCACTCGTCACATATCCCATGACACCACACCAGATGGATGCATGCTGGCTCTGATCCTGTCTTGGGTATCCCTCTGTCTTTCTGTCTGTCTGTCTGTCTGTCTCTCTTGCTACAGTAAGCACGGCACTAGCAGCACACCCCCATGGCATACACACACGGTCACATACGTCCCATCCCCAGCCCGTAAACAGCGCATCAGCACTTCTTCCTCCCTCCCTCCCTCCCTCCCTCTTTTCCTCCCTCATCAACTAAACCCACTACCTACCGCTCATGGATCAGGGATCTAGCCGCCGATAGGCCCACCCATCAGTGGCCTTGCCGTCGTCCTTGCCAATGCCTGTGCCCCTGCCCCTGCCCCTCCCCCCGCTCTCCGCATCCGTGGGCGCCGAGGGCTGTGGCGAGGGCGTTTGGTCGCTCTCGTCGGTGAACAGCAGCGCCCCCTCCGGGCACTCCACACCCGGAGGGCCCTCGTCCACGCCGCCCCTGCTGCTCGACACCCCACCTAGCGATGAGAGGTCGTCATGCGTCACGTTGCCACCGCGCTTCCTCCCGGGGCTGGCGCCCGCGCGGGCCCTGCGCGTGAGGAAGCCCAGCCATCGTTGCGGGTCGGTGGAGTTCTCCGGGTAAGGCCCCTCCGGGTTCTTGACCAGCTGTCCGCGTGAGGGCTTCTGGCCGGGGATGGGCGGCAGCGGCGGGGGGTAGTACCCTTTGCCAGTGCTCGTGGGCTCACCGCCCACCGTCGTCACAATGCGCCGCTGCTGGGAGAGGCCGGGCGATCGCAACATATGGAACGTCGGCCCCTCGACGGCGCTGGGCGGCTGCGTGCTGACGCCATGGCGGTAAGGCCCTGTGTCGCTGGGGTGGCGCTTGGAGGAGGGCGTGCCGCCGCCGACGTGGAGGGCATATGCGTTCCAGCTGCCGCCTCGTGTGTATGCGGGGCTGCGGCCGCTGACGGATGTGCCTGCGGGGGTGCGGTCGGCTTCGGCGCCCGATGTGCGGGACGGCGTGGGGGTCTCGTCCTTGGAGGTCCGCAACGGACGGGCCTCCTTCTCTCTAGGTGGGAAACGCAGCTGAACAAGGACAGACACACACACACACACGCACACACACACAGAGACAGAGGGAGAGAGAGTCGAGCGACAGAAAGGGTCGCTGCGTGCTTGTGGGATGGGGGCGGGGCGTACCAGAGCTGCCTTTCGGCTGCTGTCGAACTCGTCGAGGATTTCCTCCTGGATCAGCTCCTCGATGACATCCTCGAGGGTGACAATCCCGATGAACGTGGCGTTGCGGTCCACTGCGCGGTGGTTGGCCTGACAAACAGACAGACAGACAGACAGGGGGCACCCCACGGTCATCTGGGGGACTGTGGTGTGTCTGTCTATTGTGGATAGGCGGCTGGCGCACCGCACGCACCAGTGCACTGGCGTATTCCTCGACCAGCTCGGTGACGATGGCTATGTGCGATCGACCCTGACACACAACACATGACAACACATGACAACACACCACACACAGGACGGTCCGTCCGTCGGTCAGTGTGTCTGTCTTGCTGCGTGTAGTTTGTCAGCCTTAGTTACGCATTGGAACTCGTTGAGCATGTCGTAGAGGGATGCCTGCGGTGACGCCACCAGGGGGGCGTGGCACACAAACTCCGACACCAGACGCCCTGGATGAATCGATAGAATGACACACAGACACGCACACACACGCGATACACGAAACAGGGCCAGCTGCCTGTGGATCGGATGCAATCAGTCAGTGTCGCCTCTCCCCCTGTGACGTGACGTGACGAACCTTCCTTTGGGTCCACTGTGATGAGGCTCTTGACCAGCAGGATGCCCTGCACGTTGTTGCGCGTCCTGCACTCACCCACACGCATGTCCTGTGTGCTGTGCTGTGTGTACCGGTCGCTCTCTGAGCTCACTCGCTGTATACGAGCACTCTGGAGTGTCCCCTCTCCAACAACTCGGTCAAAACGGCAGGCGTCAGCCGGGTCTTCATCTCCTGCACGCATCACATCACATCACACACGAACAGCAGCCAGCCCCCTCCCTGTTGGTGTCCTGTCCACTCCACGTGTCTGTCGACTGACTGGCTGACTGACCAGCATGTAGATGTCTTCAAACGGCACCATCACCTCAACCACAGTCTTTGCTGCCAGATCCAGCGCACCTGCACACACAAGGTAAGGTATACTATACATCGCTGGCTGACCCATGTCATGAGTGGGGCTTGGCTTGGCTTGCGAGGGATTCATGGGGTGGGGACTGACCTTCAATGACGATCACTTCGTCACGCCCGAGTACGTCGTCCATCATGATCTGGTCTGCAGTGCACAGAAAAGCCACAACCATTTCTGCCAGGATTGTGGCGTTTGATGTGTGTCTGCGCGCGTTGCGTTTGTCACCTCTGATGTCCTCCGGCGCCTGTGCGTGCGGGTCTGACTGCTTCCTCTGTGTCCCGCGGTTGTCAAGACCATGCATCCTGACACACACACACACACACACACACACACAACACAGCGTCTTTCACCCGCCCAGCCATCCCCCCGCCCAGCCACCCACCTGATGAGGGCTTTGAGATGGGACCGTGCGTAGAATCCTTCCTCCTCTGAGTGGTCGCCCAGCAGAGTGTCGAGCAGCCGTGCGATGGGCCAGGATATGCACCAGAAGATCACCAGCATCGTCTTGACGATCGGTGCCGTGTAGTAGGCGATTGCCAGCTGGCTGGGGCCGGTGCACAGGGCCTGGGGCAGCACCTACTCACACACACACACGAGGTAGGTGGGTGGGTGGGTGGGAATGTATGGTGAGCGGAGCGAGCCAGATGGATGGATGCCAAACTCAACTCACCTCTCCGAAGATGAGAATGGCCGTGACGGAGAGCACGACGGCCATCCAGCTTGGCACCAACGCATCGAGGAACAAGGGCAAAGCCTGCACAGATGCACCGACACACAGACAGACACACAGACAGACAGACAGACAGACAGACAGGCAGGCAGACAGACAGGTAGGCAATTGACACATCTGTTCTCTCTCGTGTGTGTTCCTTCCGTGGGTCTCACCTCCATGCAGGTCGCGTTGGCAAGTAGGAGCGTCACCAGCACTGCACCGCACCGCCACATACGCAATCAGAGAGAGATACACACTCAAACAAACGCGCCGAGAAGGATGTGATGTGATGTGTGCCTCTCACGCACACAAGTGGTGGTGGTGGATCAGGGACAAGACCTTCTCAGCCCTGCAGCCAGGCAGGCACAAAACACCCACTCACGGTCCGTGTGGTGTGGAAGGAACAGGCCCGGCTCTTCTGTCTGTCTGTCTGTCTGTTGCCGCTCTGTCTGTCCTTCCCTCCCACACAGAACTGACCTCAGTTGTTCCACTTCTGTGCCCTCGGTCGACAGGATGCGCAGCCTCACGGGGTCGAGTGACATCAGCCCGGTGGTCAGACCCGACATCAGACCCGCAAACGCAACCAGCCCCACACAGATCGCCTGCAACACACAACACAGACACACACACGCGACAGGAAGCCAACAGGCATCACAACGACAACACCGAAGCCAAGCCATCTGTTGGTCACTCACGACGTAGATCCAGAACCAGCTGCTGTAGATGCTCAGTTTCTCCTGTAGCGCCGCTGTCGACCGTGCAAACAGCCCCGAAAGATACGAGAAGGACCCCTCTGAGTGGTCGTCGTCGTCGTGCGATGCCGCCAAGGTCCCCAACAGCGCCACCAGGAGGCAGAGGCCGAGCCTGGTGGAGGCATACAGGCGCATGGCAGACCGGGCCGCCATCAAGCGATGATATCGGGCGCGTGCTTCGGTTGCTCGCAAACTGTTTTAGGGAGCACCCTAGGCTGCCTGACTGCATGTAGCAGGTCCGGGGCTCTGGTGATGATGATGATGATGATTCGTCGATGAAGGGGAGAAATGCAAAGATATGACGGATAACCGACCGCTCGCCGTCCGGCTGCTGCAGACGCACACCGTCCCTGTAGTCTTCAAACTGGTGGCTTCCCCGGAAGATGTCAAGGATGGCGAGTCTGGTACAAGGAAGGGCAGGCGGAGAACGAAAAGAGTCAGATCCCTGCAGAGAAATGGGTGCGGCTTGTGAATGTATCAGTTTCTTTGCTGGTCGGTGGCAAGACTCATCGCATGGCCCCTCCGTCGCCCACGTGTGACGCCTGGCGCGTCTGTGTGGCCATCCCGCCGGGCGACCATCGGTACCAATACGTCGTGACCGACCGTCATGGCCTAGTCAAGCGCTACGAGCAGCAGATGAAAAAGGCGCGTATCATCATCGAGCGCTCCATCTCCAGCGAGCACTCAGACATCCTACTCACCGTCATGGACACTTTCGGTAGCTGCATGTGCCACTGGGCCTCCGTGACGCCAACGCAGCAGGTGCGAAACGTGAAACACGGGAGCTGGATTTGCGTGCATCGTCTGCTTGTGCGATGTGCAGGAGTCTGAGGTTTCCTTCACATGTTCCTTCACCCCGTCGGCCCTCTTCGGCAGCTCCCAGCCCCCGCCGCCATTCACAGCCCTGCCAGACCCAGACGCCCTCCCTGCATCGCTCCCCAATGCGGCCACCATCCACACAAACTTCCGCAATGCCGTCACGCTGCAGTTCGGTGCTGGTGCGTGCCATCTGACGAAGCGGCTGGCCATCGGCATTGCTTGCGGCACAATCAATGAAGGTGCAGCGCGCAGTCTCATCGAGCAGGGGGCCAACATCAAGGGCGGCGTCAAGGAGTCGCATGGAGGCGACCTCAGCCTGGTGGGGCTGGTGGTCGCATACCACACCGGCTCATCGGCTGGCAAGGTGCTCCGGGCACTCCTCGACGCCGGGGCGCAGATCGACGAGAGCCCCGACGACGCGGAGCACAGGAGTTTGCGGGTCGCAATCAGAGAGGGGCGGTGGGCGCTGCTGGAGATCCTGCTCGAGCCGCAGTACAAGGCGGCCGTCAACGGCATGCAGCTGCTGTCGGAGCTGGGCGTAGAGGGCAAAGGTGGCAGAGAGAAGGGCCTGCCGCCGGCTGCCCATCTGCGCATCGTCAAGAAGATCGCCGAGCGCGACCCCTCTGTCCTCACAGAAGTGGACAGCAACGGCAAGCAGCCCATCCACCGCTACTGTGAGCACCCCCTCACCAGCGCCAAGTGCCAGCAGCGGCTCATCGACTACTTTGTCAAGGTGTGTGGGCATGACATCGTCAACGCACCAGACAGTGACGGCAGGCGGCCGCTGTGGGCCGCGTATTTCTCGACGCACCTCAGCCGCACGGGCCGCAAAGAGACCATCCACCGCCTCTACCACTTCGGTGCAGCGAAGCACATCAACACGCCCGACAGCAGCCAGCGCACTCTGCTGTGGGACCTGGCGCGTGAGATGACTGACGACGAAGAATATGAGCCTTCGGATGCCGTGCGGGTCGAGCCCGATCTCCTCGACTTGCTCACGCACGGTGCCTCGCTGACGGCTGCCGGCGTGACCCCACAGAGAGCCATCAGAGAGGCCAAGGATGAGCAGCGGCGTCAGCAGCGTGAGACCTGCGACCGCTGCGAGAGTTTGGAGGGAAGGCTCTTTGACTTGGGCTACGAGTACTGGGACAGCGATGACGAGGAGGAGGTGGACGACGCAGACTGGCCCATGAGGAGGATCGTGAAGGCATACGGCACGCTGCTGAACCGCAAGATCCCTCGCCGGTCCATCCGTGCCATCAACACCGCTCTGCAGCCCAGCCGCTCCATTGTGGCCTCGCTAGCCCAACCCATACCCATCAGCGAGACGACACACGTCACGCTGCCTCCCGAGATTCAGACGACGATCGCCTCCCTGCTGACCCCCTCCCCCTCCCTCCCCATCGGCGAGAACCCATTCGGCACACGCATCAACCGGGCCATGCAACAATACGTGACGGCCGCCAGCCGCAGCATCATCCAGCACGGCAACGTCCATGTGGTGGGCGGGCCGGGCCAGCCACCGCTGCGCCCCTTCGCCATCGGCGGGGAGACGGGCCGCCGCATGGGCATCTGCGAGGTGATCTTTCGTGTCGTTCGGATGGAAACGCTGCGGTGGGGCATCAACCTGACGCTCAAGCACGGGATGGACAATGACGAGCAGATCATCAGGACCATGCGGGTGGCGTAACTTGGCTCTGCCTGCCGTGCTATGGGACGAGACGGCCGGGATGGGTGGGATGCATAGGGTGGGATGCACACGGTGTAGTGGCGGGAAGGGAAGATGTGTCTGATCTCTGTGGCCATGCCGATCGGAGGGTTGGCGGGCGAGCGATGGCGGTTGGATAGTCATGTGAGCCGCAGCGACGAAGACAGTTGATGGGGACTGTTAGGACTGTGTGGCTTAGCCTTGCCTTGCCGTGCAATTGACGGCACCTAGATAAAGGAGTGAACGTCCTATTGTAGACCACCAGGCAGCTCAAGTTGGAGTATCAGCAGTAGCTCGGGGTAGCGAGTAGGAATGTGAGGAAGCCGGAAGAAGCATTCAGTGACGACGGAGGTCTCATGGACACGCAAGCTTGGGCTGGAACTCATGTCTCGTGGATCTCGCCCGTATAACTCAGTCTCCGCTCTAACTTCTCATCACCGGCAGGAACCTTCAATGAGCTTAGCTTACTACGATACGATGTGCACCGCATTAGCTGAATGGATCTGATCTCCACATGTGAGATCTTTGAGTCCGTTGCTACCTCTTCATTCACCTCCCTCCGCATCTGCCGGCCTGGCGACGCGAGGGCGCTGCGATGCTTCGGCTGATCTTCTCTGTTGTTGTCCTCCCTGTGTGGTCATGGCTGGTCATCGAGAGCGGCGTGTTGGCCTACAGAATGGAGCCAGACGGTGAGTGAGTCACGCGTGCTCACGAGAGAGGGAGAGCGAGGGCAGAGAAGCAGGGTCACACACACGCAAACCAAGCGCCCCTTCTGTGTGTTGGGCTCTGTGTGAGTGATGGCGCTCTGTGTGTGTCATGCAGATGGCGAGTGCATTCGGAACGGCCGGAGGTCAGCTGCGTGCGCGGCGGCGAACAACGTCACAGTGGCCCCGCCGCCCGGCGCCTCGTGCTATGAGTGGAACTACGACTACATGGGCAACAACCTGACCGATCCCGTCACCGTCAGCACCATCGGCATGGTCGACCAGATCAGCGAGGCGCCCAACGCCACACTCGACATCAACGCCCTCGGCCACATGGTGGCGCGCCCATAGTAAGCACGTTCGCACAGGCATACCGAAACCTTTTCGTGAGTGAGTGATTGCATCAATCGCACCTACGACACGACCTGTCTGTGTCTGTGTGTGTCACGTGTGGCTGACTGGCTGGCAGCGACTGCCAGCGCGGATGTCAGAGTTATGATGGTTGCGAGGCGTGGACCTTCTCGAAGGTGGAGGGGTGTTACCTCAAGTCGTCGGCAGCGGGGCGGCGGTATGTGCCGGAGGACAACAGCGAGACCACCAGCAACTGGTATGTGAGCGGCGCCAAGTACTCGACTGACTGCGACGGTACACTCACTGCAGACAGACAGACATGATGACATACATCTCCGCGAGCTCATTATCTGCTGCCTGCCTGGGTGGGTGTCTGTCTGTCTGTCTGCCTGTCTGTCTGTCTGTCTGCCTGTCTGTCTGTTCCTTTGTTTGACGCATATCTAAAGGTGGTCTCGTGAGTCCTTGCTACGAGTATAACGTGAGTCCTCTCTGCCATCCCCCACCCGTCACTCTCTCATTTGGTGTGTCTTGTCGTGTGGTGTGCTATGCGTGTGACTGACTGTGTTTGCAGGTGGCGTGCATCCTGAGCGCCCCCCGGTCCCACTTCCCTGACGGCCGGGAGTCGACCACCATCCACGAGTGCCACGAGGTAGGCACCACACACACACACACACACACACAGAGAGAGAGAGAGAGAGATGAGATGTGCGCTGGTGGCGTGTGTGTGGCTGCCTGCAGATGTGCAAAGGGGTGCCCGGCTGTCTCGCCTTCGCCTGGCACGACCGGTACCCCCGCAAGGGCAAGGTGCTCAGGGGCGTGTGCTTCCTATGCGGCAACAAAGACAGGTAGGTCTGGTCCACACAAAGCAAGCAAGAATCATGAATTCCATCCGCTTTGTCCTCTCCCCTTTTGGTGTCTGCTCTGCATCTCCAGGAAGATGTGCTCGCCAGGCGCGGTGATGGGGTGGGTTGAGGGCCGCGACTGCGGGCCAGCGGAGGGCACGACCTTTCCCCCAGCCCCCACGCCGCCGCTCGACACAGACGGCCTGCACCTCATGGCCGCTGATCCATCTCTCTATTACGGCCTGCCGATCGGCGAGAACGCCCGAGCACTCGGCAAGGGCGGAACACAAGAGGAGAAGGCGTTCTTGAGAGGCGACCTTGGGGCACCGCCGTATCTGACGGAGCCGCTGCGTTATGCGGTGCGGGCGAATGACCTGGCCCGTGTGGAGCTCAAGAACTGCGGCTGCTTCCATCTGGGCGTGCAGCCGGACCCTCAGACGTCGCAAATCGTCCAGAATCTAGCACTGTGAGCGCTCGTCCACGATTCATCGCACCCCAACCACACACACACAGAGTGTCTGTCGGTGCTAAGTGAGTGCTCGTGTCTGTCTGCCATGTGTGTGTGTGTGTGGTGAAGGTTGGTGTACCCCCCCGAGCAGTGCCAGCTCCTTTGCCAGCAGGATCCCGACTGCGAGGCCTTCTCGTCCACCTTCTATAAGTGCCTCTTGTGGAGGGACGTCACGCAGTGGAACCTCGACCAAATCGAAGCTGTGATCATTTCGGGGCCCAAGTGGTGCCCGGAGGAGCTAATCGGTACGCAGAGAGATGTGTGTGTGTGTGCGCGTGTGTGCGTGTGTGAGTGTGTGTGTGTGCGTGTGGGCGTTGGTTGCAATGCAGCTCAGGGGTACGTGTGCAGCCTAGACCACTACCGGGCGAGGTTTACCTCCTGGGCGCTTTTCTTGCTGCACATTCCCGACATCACCGACATGCCTTTCGGAGAGAGCTGCCCCGTCCAGGTAGACTAGACAACACGCAAAAACCAACACACAGATGACTGTCTGTCTGTCTGTCTGTGTCACCAGGTGAATCCTAGTGTGTTGATAGTGCTGCTGGTGGCGGGTGTGGTGGTGCTCATGGCGTTCCTGTCGGCTTGGTACATGAAGAGGCAGCACCGGCGGACGGTCATATGGCGCGTCGTGACGGCAGTGCTGGCCGCCCTCGGAACGATTCTACACGGTCAGCTCAGCTCAGCTCAACGGCCGCATCAATCAACGTTCGGTCTTTGTTTCGATGGGTATGTTGTGTTGATGGCTGTCTGTGTGTCTGTGTGTCTCTGTGTCTGTGTGTGTGTGTGTGTGCAGTGGCGTTTGTGGTGTCGTTGTTTCGTCTGTCGGGCAACGGGTGGCTCTTTTGGTTTGGGTGCGGACACTTCCTCTTCATGATCCTCTTCGATGAAATCACTGTCGTCCTCTACAACCTGAGATGGGTATAGCACCAACTCCCCCACACCCACACCCACGCCCATGATCCATTCTCTCTCTCTCTCTCCCTCTCTCTCTCTCCCTGTCTACGTGTGTGTGATCCCCCCATTGGATCAATCAGGTCATGAGCCAGCCCTCCTACCGGACCTGGTTCGACTCCACCCCCCGCTCTCTCAACGCCACGAAACACACCACCAACAGCGGCACCACCACCCCGTTCACCAACATTTTTGACCAGCTGAGCAGCAGCCAGACCCAAAGCCAAAGCGAGCGGAGAGAGTGGAAGCTGAAAAAGTCCGTCACCTTCGAGGCCGTCCACCAGTCACCGCCGCCACCATCACCGCCTGTGCAGGAGGGCAACAGCAGCAACATCGTGCCAGACACCGACGACGACCTGGTGTCCTACTGCCCGTCGTTCAATGTCAGCGAGCTGTCCGACGAGGCCGTGTTCGGCCCCTTCCAGCACGAGCAGGCCCCACAGCTGCTCGACAGCACACAAGACAATACAGAGGACACCCAGCCCTCGACCACCAGCAGCTGTGGATCCACAGCTGTCAGACTGACCGACAGCTGCCCGGTTGTCGATGTCAAGTTCTTCGCAGCCGAATCCACCGAGTGCGGCTCTGCCCAACACACCGACATGACCGAGTTGAAGGTGGCGATGGCAGAGCGAGGCGCCACAGAGGAGTGGGACGACGAGAGGGCCTTTGGCGGCAGCGGCCCGGGGCTGGTGGTGGTGCTCTTTGCGAGTTTTTTCTCAATCGGCGTTCTGCATCTGTGCTGGAGCCACCTGGTCCCCAAGAAGCCGTTCTTCGCTATCCCAGTGGCTTCCGACCAGTTCGCTTCGCTGGAGCTGCTCTCGCTGGTGGGGTATGTGCCCATGCTGACCTTACAAGTGAGTCAGCAGAGACTACAACACAACCACAGCACACCTTGTTTGTCGTCGTGTGTCCTTCATTATCCCCCGTGTGTGTGGTGTGTGTGTGGTTTGTCTGTCTGTCAGCTTCTGGCGGTGTTTATGAGTGGCGGGGACGGAGTGCTGGCCGATGTGATGCCGGCGGTGACTTTGACGGCTGCTCTGCTGTCGGCGATAAGCATAGCGGGGGTCGTGGTGCGGTTCGTGTGGTGGCGACTCAGGAAGGGAGATATGAGCAGATAGAAAAGGCCGACGAGAGAGGAGACAGCCAGAGAGAGAGGGAGGGATAGTCTCTCTGGTGTGGTGCTACGGTGTGGTTCGACTCGACGTGGCTTCGGTTTGTATGGGTCGGTGCGGTCGGTGCTGCAGTGGGTCTGTCTGTCTGTCTGTGAGTGAGTGTGTCGTGTCTATTGTCGTTTTTTCTTCATCCGTGAGGATTTCCTTCATGTGGGCGACCGACGCGTGGTCAGGTCGGACGGGCGGCGCGCGGGTCGCGTTTTTGTCATCTATCTATCGGGTGGGGTGCTGCCTCCCCTGCACGGTGTGTTTGTGGCGGGCAGTGAGCAGCGATAGCGTGTGGGACGTGTGCAGACCTGCACACCCAACGCCTACCGGCAGGCCAGCCATTGTGTGTGTGCTGCATACATACATACGTCAGTCATATGCATCGCATCCACCGTCCTTCATGCTGGTTGGTGCGTCGGAGAGTGTGCGTGTGCACGTGTGTGTGGAGTGCTGGTGGCGTGAGGATGGTGAGGGGGAGGATGTGTGGTGTCGTCTCTTATGTAAGAGTAGGTGGCCACCCACCATGTGTCTGTCCTTCGTACGATCGTGCAGCGGCTGTTGTCGTCTTGTTGTGATTTACGCGTGTGAAGAGCTAGAGAAGTATGCGTGTGGCAGACAGAGGGGGAGAGAGAGAGAGAGAGTGCGAGCTCGGTCTTTATAAGTGTCTTCCTACCATCCCTATCTCGGTCGTGATTGGCGTCAGATTCGTGTGTGTGTGTGTGTGCGGATTCGTGACTGCTCTTTGTGGGCGGCGTGTGCCTGTGTTATTTCAAGCCTGTACGTGGGACATTTTTCCTCCCACACACACGCATGTGTCGACCGACAGATGTGTGTGGTGTGGGTTCATCCGTTCAGTCAGCCAGCCTGTCGTCTGAGACAAGTCAGGTCACTCGCCCTTTCGTTGTGTGATGCAGTTGGTGATGAGGAACGAACGAACGAGTGGGCTGCATGTTTGGCTGCCTCTGGTGATCCTTCTGACTGGAGAGAGAAGCAGAGTCAATCTATGGGCCTGAGGGAGCGAGGGAGGGAGGGTGTGTGGCTACAGCCAACACACTGCATGCCTTGGCGGAGAGCGAGTCTCACTGTATGGATCCGCGGATGGTGTGGGTGTAGCATGGTGTGGTGTGATGTCGCCGTCAGTCAGTCAGTGAGCGAGCCAGACGGGCTTTTTTGGCTGGCATGTGGCGAAGCCCGGACAGACAGACAGAGGTGAGGATTGGATTGGGGTGCATGTGGACAAATGGCGGGCTGGTGGGGGGGGGAGTGACGGGTCGCGAGAGCGAGTGGACGAGAAACAAGGCTGGGCAGAACTCCACGCTCGTGACGGTCGTCTGTTCCTGCTGAGACCATGCTGGCGATCTCCGCCCTCACCAGCAAGGTCTCGACGGGGCTGACTACACTACCACAGAGCGTGGAATTTGGGGCACGGCTGCTGACTGTCTGGAACACGACTACTGGATCGTCGATGAGTCATACATACCAGCCCCTTCACTCACTAAAAAGAACGATCACCGTATTCACTCACTGGACATCGCCAGTCTGGTCCGGTCTGGTCCAGTGTGTCGCGATGGATGTTGGTATGCACAGCTGTCTGCAGAGAGAGGTACAATTGATTAACCCATCAGTAGTAGTAGTAATAGAGTAGCAGCAGTAGGCCACACACCACACCACCTCACATCACTGCCGCAGCATGTCATGCACGACGCTATGCACAACAAGACGGCAGCCGTCCATCCATCCACACGTCTACCTGTGCTGTACCCTCAGACAGACAGGCAGGCAGGCCAGTACACGGCAGGAAACAGAAAGCACAAAGCAGATTGCGTCACGAAGCAGATTGCACCCACAAATTACATGTATGTACTGTGCACGTGTAATGCCCATATCAACCTCTGCCCCCCCCTTCCCTTGCTCCGCCGGCATTCCCACCGGCACCACAGTGTGCCTCCTCACACGTTCAGAGCGTTCGGTGCGGCATTCCCCTGGGGTGTCTGCGGCCGACTGCCAGCGGCACTCGCCACGTCACGAGCAGGCTCATGCTCAGGCTCTCCTGTCGCGGCCGAGAGGCTGCGGACGAGGGATCCCTGTCGCGAAAACGCACAGACTGCCCACAGCTGGGACGGCCACCGCTCTGGCTGAGATCCAACGGGTGATGCGGGTGCTGCCGGCGGCTCTGTTACCGGGGCTGCTGCTGGCTGCTGCCTTCGGTCTCGGTGGGCGTTGGCGTCGTGACGAGACTTAGTCGACAACCAGCAGGAGAAAACAAAGAAGCCCACGAAGACGACAGCGCTGCACACGCCCACCGCCAGGATTGTCGTGTCGGCCGTGCCTTCGCCGGTGCCGTCGATCGGGGCAGACGACTTGTCGAGTCGCTCAGAAGCTACACTACCATTCTCGACTCCATCAGTGCGCTCGTTAGCGTAGATTCTGACGAACTGGTATTGGCGGTGGTTCAGATCGCCGGAGGAGCTGCCCCCATAGAGGAGGCTGCGACCCGGGAGGGACCTGTCGTTGGCATCATACTGCTGCTCGTTAACGGAGGGAGACCGCAACGCACGCCGGAACTGCACACACACACACACACACACACTCGGGGAGGGATTTGTCGTGGCCTGTTCGTCAGTGTAGGCAGGTTACTTGCTTACCGACGAGGCGTTGGGGTGTGAGGGGCTGCCAGTCAGGCTGGAGGCGGCACATAGACAGGGGCACATACCACCAGTGATAACGGCGACCCACACGACGGCCATTTTCTTGAAGGCACTGGCTCCTTCTGCTGCCATCTTTTGTAACGTGACTGAATGATATCAGTGTGCTGTTGCTGCGTCGTGCGTGTCCACCGTGACCGGGCGGTCTCCTCCCGCCTCTCCCTCTCCTCTCCATTCTCTCGAGAGAATCGGAGAGATGTCCTCTGTCAAGATTGTCGGGCGAAGGAGGATTCCCTTCCAGGCGCCAAAGGGAGCTGCCCTCGAGGCCTTCCTGCCACCCCAGCGCCCTTCTTCCCCGCCACACGAATGCGAGCTTTGGACGGATCGAGTGAGGATCGAATTACCGTTTTTCTCAGAGTTGGCAAATTCGTTTTGCGATTTTGTCTGCCAGACGTTGTGAGCACTCGTCCATACGCCATTTGCGAAAGAATCGGAGAGAAGCGCGGAGTTTGCCATTTGGAGAGGAGTTAGGGCAGTGAAATTCCGTTTTTGCACCGCTTGTTGATGCTGCATTGCTGTGTTGATCATCTAATTGGTAAAGTGATGGGTAAAGGTCGGTCACGGTGGCACACACTGGCCATAGCCAGGCTTGTGCGGTCTGTATGTACACAAGAAGACGGCGGCCGTCCATCTACGCGTCTACATGTCCTGTACAGGTACTCAGGCAGACAGGCAGCTCAGTGTAAGCAGGCACACGAAGGAAAGCACAAAGCAGATTGCGCCACGAAGCAGATTGCACCCACAAATTACATGTATGTACTGTACACGTGTAATGCCCATATCAACCTCTGCCCCCCCCTTCCCTTGCTCCGCCGGCATTCCCACCGGCACCACAGTGTGCCTCCTCACACGTTCAGAGCGTTCGGTGCGGCATTCCCCTGGGGTGTCTGCGGCCGACTGCCAGCGGCACTCGCCACGTCACGAGCAGGCTCACGCTCAGGCTCTCCTGTCGCGGCCGAGAGGCTGCGGACGAGCGATCCCTGTCGCGAAAACGCACAGACCGCCCACAGCTGGGACGGCTCCCGCTCTGGCTGAGATCCAACGGGTGATGGGGGTGCTGCCGGCGGCTCTGATACCGGGGCTGCTGCTGGCTGCTGCCTTCGGTCTCGGCGGGCGTTGGCCTCGGCAACTATTTGACGAGACTTAGTCGACAACCAGCAGGCGCAAACAAAGAAACCCACGAAGACGACAGCGCTGGACACGGCAGCTACCAGGATGGTATTTCCCGCCTGGCCTTCGTCGATGCCATTCGGGGCAGACGGCTTGTCGCGCTGCCTAGTGCGTCTCGTGGTATAGCTTCTGAGGGACTGGTATCGGGGGTGGTTCAGATCGCCGGAGGAGCTGCCCCCATAGAGGAGGCTGCGACCCGACTGGAGGCTGAGGGATCTGTCGTTGGCATCATACTGCTGCTCGTCAACGGAGGGAGACCGCAACGCACGCCGGACCTGTGCACACACACACACACACACTCAGGGAGGGATTTGTCGTGGCCTGTTC